GATGCGAGCATACCCACCCGGAGCTGAGTCCATACAACCCGAATGCAATCTCAGTTACTCTTCTAGCACTAGAGTTAACACAAGACTTATCCAATGAGACCATCTAGTGATTTTTGTATACCGGGTAACCATATAATCCTAGATCCCGAAGCGGATGCTGTATGCCAAGCCGACCTTGTCTGACCGAAATTGGTGCCCACAACATCCTAGTCGATTAAACGCGTGGTCCTTCGGGGTCAAGGGACTTTTACCATGGAGTCCTCGACTCGCTAGAGGCTTCATGTAGTCTAGCGGAAAATTGCCGATCTGCAAATACTGTACATCAGTCTACGAAGTGGCATTCTACGACGAGTCATGGAACATGCAGGGCTTGCAGGAGTGGTCAGATAGGATACACTAGATTGGTATGTTGATTGTGAGAGTCCACCGACAATGGATTTCTGTGGCAGTCTCGACGTAGCTGGTATTGTTACCGTTAAATATTCGACCATCATAATGGGTTGGATCAAGATAGAGGAGACCTTTCGATGCCTATATCTGAAACAAATCATGGCGGATTGATACAAGAGAGACCAAGCGACCTCCTATTGTATATCCAGTAACTGAATGCAGGGGTGTAAAGGCATTTCTCGGATCCGGGGAATGGCGGATTGCAACCTGAGCAGCCCTATGCAAGTAATGTTAAGGGGCACGGCTTCGATGTAAAAGATCGTGGCTTGAGCATCGGCTCTTTAGTGTAACGGTGGAACCAAAATTGTCACGATCATCTACTTGCTGAGCGACTCATTCAGAATAGCGTCGAGCTACTCATTAATCCGACCCGGCTCCAACGGCTCTGGCCCGTAGTAGCGCTCGATCCTTCTGGGGCCATCGCAACTGGCATGCCACGTTTAATCCACCGCTCCTGGACTTTTGTAAAAGGACATTGCAGATACGTTGGAGCTTGCAGGGTCCAGCTGTGGCTTGGATCAACACGGTTGAACCTTGAAGACTTCTCTCCTATCGAAACTTGACATCTATCTACGGTGTTTGATGTGATTTACCGGGATTTCTCAAGACTCCAAAATGGTGCCACTCATAGCGGATTGTCCTTCCCTATAGTAAATACCTATAAGTAGGTAAGCAATCACAACATCCTCGGTGGTGCCGTGTCATTGTACCAGTAGTATCTGTGCGCAGGGCAGGAAAGCTATAATTCACTGTATCAGTCGTACGAGCAATATGGATTCCACCTATGTGTCTTTACTTCGTCGTCAGACTCTCGCCTGGACCTGTTCCACTTCACCGAGATCAGATAGCAGTCTCCTGCCCAAGATGCCAGCAAACGGAGAACACCACAAGAATACCATCCTGATAACTGGCTTGAACGGTTATCTAGCAGGTAGAACGGCCGAACTAATACTACGAGCAGGATACCGAGTGCGAGGCACCGTCCGCAACCAGCAAGCAGGAGAGAAGGTCAAGGCCGCTCTCTTACAACTAGGCTATTGTTCAGACGATATCGATGTGCTCGAGATTCCCGACATATGTCGGCATGGCTCTCTCGATAGTGCTGCCACCGGTATGGGAGTAACTGTATCCTAGTAGAGCATATACTAACTGATGTATTCTAGGATGTATTGCGATTTTTCACCTTGCTTCACCACTTGCAGAAATATGGACACTCCCTCCCTCAGAGGTAGTTCGGATAGCGACGGAGAGCACGGCGAGGGTTTTGAGCGCAGCAGCGAGAACCGGTGAGACCATGAACAGCGTGGTCCTTGTGTCATCGGCCGCGGCCCTGTTCGATATTCCGTTGGAGAGCCGACACTATACAGAGAAGGATTGGAACACGACGTCTGAGCAGATTCTCAAACGAGAGGGAGACGATGCGGGTGGCTTAAATGCCTATCTTGCTAGCAAGACTGCTGCGGAGAGAGCGTTCTGGAAATTTCGGGATACTTACGCACCTTCTTTTGGAATGACGGCTCTTCAGCCCACGTGAGCATTCCCTCGGACTGAAATACTGAAATACCTCGCGTCATGCTGACGGACGCGATAGGTACTTCATCGGACCACCACTCATCCCCTGGGAATCTGCTGCGAGCATTCCTTATTCGAACAGCCACTTCTGGAAAGTTGTAGCGGGCGAGGAAATACCCGGTCCTATGATGATTTACGGCGACACGGTTGACATACGAGACGTAGCACGAATGCTGCTGTGGTCGGCATTGCACCCGTCGCAGTCCGATGGTCAACGATTTGTATGCTCTTCGTCCGTCGGCGGGGGGCAGGCTATTGCCGATATATTGAGCAGACGTATGCCCACCCTGAAGATACAACGAGGACAACCCGGACAAGGATACTCGCCTGACTACAAGCCTCAAGTCGGTGTTGGTGGATTCGACTCGAACAAGGCCGTCTCAGCTACAGGAGAAGACTGGATCCCATATGACGAGAGTGTTGTCGACATGGCACGGTTCCTACAACGGTATCTCCCGTGATACTATGTAGCCATACTGCGTGACGGAGGGTGTGCAGGCCTCATCCTGGGCGTGTCGATTCTGCTTTCACTAGTATGCCGTCCGCTTTATCGAGGTATGAGGCATGCCAATCCCTCGAAATAGTGCTTTGAATTCTATAGAGGGCGTTTCAAAAGGTGTTCGGGGATAATAAAAATTTCTTATATAATAAGTGCGATTAATACACATGTCGCATGTCCAACCTGCGCTTGATTATGTTAGGGAATCCCAAAACTAATAATTGTCGTTAACAATTAACAGCAGGTGAGCTTAAGAAACACCTGATTTCTTGTTAATCATATGTGCACGTCTTTCGGAAAGCTAAGTTGGGTTCGGGAGCGCCACCTCAATTGTCCGTCAGCTACAGATTTTCACCTTTGCTGGTTAGCGTCCAAGATGATAAACAGCGTAATATTGTGGTATTAAAGGTAATCACAGACTAGATTACAGACTGGGTATGTGTTTTAGATAAGTTAATGATCCGCGCGCCACCATTCCTTGCTTCCCCTCCACCCGAAAAGTGTCCCCATCAACAACCCCGGCAATCACCCTCTCAAGCGCTCGTGAGCCAGTAATTCCCGGCCAGAGGTTCGCCAAGGCCCAACTTCTTCTCGCAGTTCTCCTGATTCCACCACAGGCGACTCGTCAGCTTCACCTCCTCAGCAAAGCCGAGCAAGCTCCTGGCCTTGGCAGCATCCAGGCCCTTTGGTTGCTCGAACACCAGGAAAATGTAGCGGTGCGCGGAGCTGGGTTTGGGCGGGCCCGGGGGCGCGTATGGGACCAGCCAGTCCTTAGAGCCCTCGAGCGGCGTAAAGCCGTCGTCGTCGGCGGTGCCAGGGACGAGGTCGATGTGCAAGCCGTGTAAGATGGGGCCAAGGACGGAGAAGGAGGGGAATGGGGCGTCGGGATCGATGGAGACGGCGACATATTTGGTGTCGGGCTCCGACTTTAGTGCGCTTGTGGCGATGGAGATTGTCGGCGTGGGCGTGGCTTGGGGAATGCTCAGCTTGGTGCCCGCTTCCGTTACAGTGGCCTCGGGGAAGTGTAGGCGCAGTGTTGTAGCGTTACTGGCGGCCGCGAGGGCCTTCTGTACACTTGGAGACTCTTTACCCATTGTGGAACCGTCGTCTCTTTTTTTTCCTCCGCTGCTATATGCTGAAGTAGGTATGGAGATATGGGAGAGAAAAGGTTGGATATAAACAGACCGCTGCCGGCAAAGTTTTATCACTTCAACTAACTAGCCATCGTTCGAGCAGCAACGGAGATTAATAGTATAACACCGGAAGACCCACAGCGCTTATACTACGTGTAAATGTAACGCTGTTAATATGCAAGGACCTTAGTTCAGTGCTTTCTGGCATTGTTGCCGAAGCGTACTCCTAAAGCGATTGGCCGAGCGCCAGGTACCCGACTCGGGCTGGGCCGTGATCGGCTCGCGTGATAATAAAGCTTACTACTATACGGCACAGAGGATCTGATAGCTCATGCTGCACGCACCGCATAGGTACCCTCTTCAAGTTCTTATTCTGGAGCACTTGCAAGGTATAGTTTACAACATCTGCCCATACAGGTATGGATGCTTGCTTGCTGGACTGGTCAAGTTGGGCCTCTTCCTCAGTACAGGATGTGATATCTTAGGTACTTATACGTAGCCAGATGCCACGCCCATTCCCCCGAAGAAGAATTATGAAGACAACGTACGGGATATTCTTGTTCCCTCCTATTGTCGCAGCGAAGAGTTAGACTAGGATATGTAGCTAAGAATGAGTAAAGGATGGATGTTCAGCGAGTCTCTGAAGTATTAGCTCTCCACATCTACGACATCAGGATCGTGCATAGGCACTAGATATCGATTAACTAGCTTTCGCCAAATAGAGTTTCCGGCGTCCTCTATTCTAATCGTGTCGATATCTCGTGCTTGCATATATACGTACATATGGAATGACGGCTTTGAACAGTATCAACCGATTTATAGAGAAGTCATTGTCTGCTATGACGCTGATGAACTCTCATATTAAGTATACTTACAGTACTGATAACAAAGGTGGGGTTGGGCTTCGGGTTTCGGAACCGAATCGGCAAAATAGCCGCCATACCATGGTTGGGATCGTCGAATCATCTCTCATCATACGAACCTCACATGCCAAGCCGACCTCAAAGGAACAAGTGGTCATCGCTCTGCCCTCTTCTGCGGCAATATTTTGTCAACTCACTCAAAATAGATAGTCACTAGACCTATTTTGTGGTTTACACGGGTGCTTGCTATACGAGGTGCTGCGACCATCACATAGTCATCATTATCTACAAATTGGAATGGATCTAATCGAGAATTCAACTTCAGCAACAAGTCAGAGCTGTTTCGGATACCTACATCGTTGAGAGGTTCTAAATTTACGTCCTGTCCCTATTGGTTGGCGCCGTCACAACTTCCGGAAACCTGTTGGTGAACAACAATATAGTGCACAACAATACCCCAATCACACAATCACGTGGAAAGCTGCCCTGGTAGCTCAATTGGTTAGAGCGTCGGACTTTTATAAGTATCCTTATAACTCGTTATCCGAAGGCTGCGGGTTCGACCCCCGCCTGGGGCGCAATAATAGAACTCATTAGTTCATTACTCTTTTAAAATTCCCCCCCCTATTTTTGATTAAATTAGTTTTGCAAAGTAATAGATAGATATAGATAGATAAACAATAATAGAGGCCGAAAGCTAGCTTCACCCTCTCTTTACATGGCGAAGAAGCATTGCTACTAACATACTTTAACGGCTTGTGTACGTACACCTGACACGCTCTATCAACACGCTCATGAGCTTGTAATTTCCGCTTAACAAGCCGTAGCTATCTATTTATAGCTAATGTAAATCATGAGGACTCTGTCTGCCTCGTCATGTTGCGCTCACAGTGAGGATTACACCAATACTCTACAGCTTCAGGAGACGGTGGTGAACCATTGTGCTAGGTAGATGAGATGGGTGTATGGCGCACTCTCTCGTGATCTCTGCATGCGTACGGGGTAGACACTCTTCCCATCACGCCAGCAGTTCTGACTCTATTTTAATGCGAACATGAAGTATGTCTCGGTAGGCAATACGGACCAGTTCACGCTTGCATAGGTCGCGGCTTTTGAAGCTGGATACGCAGAAGCTAAAGCACGCAGCAGGAATATCAAAGCGCCAACAATACGCAATCCCCATCATCCTCTTGGCGAGGAAGCAAAATCATTGCTTGAAATGTTGGTGGTTCTCAGATATTATCTAGGCCCCTATTATCCTTAAGAAACACGTGTCGGTCTTCTACAACTTTGTGCTCGGAAGAAGATTCATTCGATTAGCGATGAAATCCATACGCTCTGTTTATGTCACAGTTCGTACTGCTGGTATAATTATACAGTATTGACTATTGCTATTGCACAAGGAAGAGAGCCCCTATCTACAGAGATTCTACTGTGTCACACGGACCCAAGGGACTGGGACCAGGCCTGACCTAGGTCTGGCGAACTGCATATTCGTATCCATATTCGTGATTCTGTAAATAGTCATATGATCGGGTGGCAGAGCCTATGGGTTATCAGAGGCTTCCCGTCTCTCTCCCGTTGACTCCCGTATGTTCTGATCTATCCGAGACAGCAATACGAGAGCGCGAGGGCAAGTGGAAGCGAGGAAACCAGGCGGCTGGCCCAGATGAAGCTATTCATATAGCCTCGGAGTCGCCCACCTGGCTGAATAGGAGGACTAGAGATCCAGAGCCCCCTTGATACCATAGATGATTATTAGTTGAATCTGAACATATCTCAAGCCCTTGTAACACGTGGAGCCTGTGGCAAGAAAAGTTCCTCGAGCCTCCTCTTCTCGGCCTCTCTTCTTTCTCTAGAACTCATTTCTCGCTATTTGCTATTTTACTTGCATGGGACAATTCCCTACATGCTGAAACTTAGCTGTTTTAATATTTTTTATACACGTAACTAGCCAAAGCTAATAGCTTGAGCTAAACAAGGGCCCTTTTCTATTAAGGTACCAAAGACTTAAAACATTAGCATCTTTATAAACTGTATCAAACCGTTTCTGTTTTACCTTGCATCCTGTTTCACGCTCTGTTATACTATACCGCCTGCCGTTGCATTATACAAGGCATTAGAACTGCCGGCAGTAAGTTAAGATTATACTAGAACCAATAATTATCCTGCCACGTAGTTTTCATATGAAGACATAGTACATATAGTCTGTAACGAAATCGGCTTCTTATTTGACAGTCCTGGAAAGATAAGTGATCTGGAGTAACAATGGCCCATCTGTTATGAGTTGTCACAATGCACAGTATAGAATTCATGGAGCTCCGGAGCGCTAGGTGACCTTGCCAGCTGTGTCCCAGGACTCCCTACATAGTTTCGCGCTCAGTCACAACACTCATTTTGTTAACTTTAATAAATTGGTATTGACCCTTCGCTGAATAAATCTCTTAACGGCCGGTGAAAAATCCGGATAAATTCTACTCTAAGCAGACAGCTTCATCATTGCCATTATTCCTGACAAACAAATCGTTCAAAGTACGGGACTTAAGAGTTAACATTTCTCTTATTCCTATAAAAACGGCCTCCTGTCATAGTTCGTACTGCTAGTGGTTCCAGTATTAACTATTTTTATTACACAAGGAAGAAACCCCCTATCTACATATCAGGAATTACCCTGCTAGTATATATATGCACGGGCCCCCCGGTTTCTGGGGATTATTCCGGAGCGTACCATAACACCTCCCAAGAAAAGGACGGCTGCTCTGGAATGAGTAAATAAATCTTTGAGTTCATGTGTAGAGCGTAAAAGGATTGACAGTCCAGAATAGTCCAACTCTTCACGACAGGAACGTTCACGCCTGGCGCAAAACTTGCATTTAGGCGATTTACACTGAGACAAGTTTGTTGGTGCCGAGTATTGCGGAAGGGAAGATCGATAAATGAAGCGCTATTCTGGTAGCTCTAGATCGTTCAACTATAGGAGGATATAAACTTCTCCACTCCGATATGATTTGTGTGAAGTCGGTGGTTGGATAATGGCGCTGCATCGAGTGGACCGCAGGTGTCTAGATCGCCTGCATAAAGGGCGGCAGGGGTTTCTCTCCATGGGGTGCCAACACACTGATGGCCAAGGGAACCAGCATCTGGTCTTAAGCGTTAACGTTAACATAAAAACCGTATAACGCAAGATTGTACTCAACAGTGTTGCTAAAGGTAGTAGGATGTGTTGTCCAGGTTACATAGCCCATTGAATGGCGCCATAGTGAATAGATATCCTGGGATATGATCCGCGATTTGGGGTGTGTGTGTGTTGGTTTTCTATTTCGTGCTATCGTTGCAATCATACGTGATCAAGATACTATCCACGATTTTGAGAACAGCGAATCAGACCAAACCGCGCACAATTACTCACTCAACTCCATCCATATACAGCACTCCAAGGGTACAAGTACGGTAGTGCGCGTCCGTTGAACTGGAAGCAGGTTTTGCTTAGGTGCATTTTCACGATCGCTAACCGCCACCATGATGCTCATCACGGTTATTCTCGCTTACTTAGCCCTCGCGGGAGCGAGCGTGGCGGCTGCTACTCAGCCAAACATTGTGTTCATCATGACCGATGATCAAGACCGTCGTCTCAATTCCTTGGCTCACATGCCCTCTCTCCAAAGTGAGCTCGTCGCCAAAGGTACTGAATTCACGAAGCACTACACGAACCAAGCCCTGTGCTGTCCCAGTCGTTCGACGCTGCTGAGAGGCCAAACCGTCCGTGAGTATCATTCCTTCAACCATTTAGGGTACGGCAATAACGATTGCACTCTTAGACAATACCAACTTGACCAACGTATCTCAGCCGGGGTACGTATTCCATGCACACCGAGCGTTGACAAACCATCAAGGATACAGAAGCTGATACAGTTGATTAAAAGAGGATCATACAACAAATGGGTACTTTCAGGTCAAGACAATGATTACCTTCCCCATTGGCTGAATGCTGCCGGCTACCGAACAGAATGTGAGCTGAATGGAAATCAAGAACAACTTTGCGGTAACTCACGTTTAATTAGACATCGGCAAGATCATGAACGGCTATGGTTTGTCTAACTACGACGTCAAATCGAAGGGCTGGGACTGGAGCGACCTTCTTGTGAGTTTTCGAACGAGCGGACATGTGGACTGTAAACTCATATTCATAGGTTGAGCCCTATATCGATGACTACAACCTCCCTGTCATGTCGCGAAACGGCATGTCTTCGATTATTAGACTGTAGCCTGCAACATCTAGTCGAGCTTCTGTGTTAACTAACATGCTGTTGGTTTTTAGGTCAGCGGCCGGTCTTCTACGAGGGTTTCCACCAGACGGACGTAATCCGGATCAAAGCGTACGTGCCTATCCATGTGAAGCGACTAGGAGGTAGTGTCTGTGCTGATTATCCCTCTAGGCTGAACCGACTCAATAACCTCACAAGCCAAACCACCCCTTTCTTCTTGGCCATAGCTCCATTCACGCCTCATGTTGGCTTTCAGCAAGACAAGCCTTCGCACAGGTACGATACACACACCACCCCTCAGACAAACCTTCAACTCACGTAATTGTGAATAGGCCCATTCCGCTACAACGACACCTGGAGGATTTCCCCAATGCCAAAGCACCTAGGACGCCGAACTTCAACCCGTCCGATGAGTATCAAGCCAACGCAGGCGGTTGGGTGAAGGATTTGCTACCTATGAACAACACCGCTGTTGACTTTGCCGACTTTGTCTATCGATCTCGCCTTCAAGCACTAGCAGGAGTAGATGAGATTGTTGCCGACGTTGTTGCCCTGCTTGAGCGGAAGGGTATCATCGATGATACCTACAGTAAGCTGATTCCAGTCACCAACATGCACTGTAGTACCTTGGGACATGACTGACAGAAGTACAGTCATCTTCACATCTGATAACGGCTATCACCTGGGCCAGCACAGAATGCCAGGAGGCAAATCGCTCTTCTATAACGAAGATACGAACCTTCCTTTCATAGTCCGCGGACCGGGCGTCCCAGCAAATGTAACATCTGACATCCCCAGTTTACACCTTGATCTCGCGCCTACTTTCCTCGACATAGCAGGCTTACCCGAGGCCAACTGGCCCGTCTTCTTCGATGGCCGCAGCGTGCTCACCCAATGGCATGATCCGAAATCAGCGAACGCCGCAGGTGCGGCCGCAGGCCAGGGGAACTCAAGAGAGAGCATCAACATCGAGTACTGGGGACGAGCAGGCATCGAGGCGCCGAGTGCGGGGAAACTGGGCTCACCCTTCGACAGCACCACATACAAGACGATCCGACTGCTAGGAAGTCAGCAGAGCTGGGTGTACACGGTATGGTGCTCGGGAGAGAAGGAGTTGTACAACACGGCCGAGGACCCCTACGAGCTCGTCAACCTCGCGAAAGACGCGAACTCAACTCGATTGATCAGCCGCCTCAACGCGCTCCTCATGGTGACCAAGTCGTGTGAGCAGAACAGCTGTCGAGACCCGTGGTCTCTGCTGAAGCCGGGTGTAGGGGGACCAAGATTGATCTCGCTGACACAGGCCATGGATA